CACCGAACCGACTACCGTAAAAGCCAACGCGGAAATATGTACCAAAACATCGCCTGTCAGCACTAAAAACAATGATTTTAAAACAAAGAACAAATCTTTAGATCTGACCGACAATCTTTCAAGACTCTAAACTTCATTTTTAAAACCAACCCTGGAAGTGGCGAATACCACGCATCTGCAATATCCTCAATTACCGGAACGACAGGCTCAATACGGGACAGAACCTCACTAATATGGTTGTATATTTGAGCAAGACGTCTAAAATCTCGATTTTCTTCCAGTATGGGAGTTATTATCTAAAAATTTGTAAAAATAAAACTGACAAGCACTGCAAACTTCCTCCTACGAAAGAAGTGGTGTTTCATGCAATGGAGGTATAAAGAAGAGGTTCAGCTACAAAAGCTAGCTATCTCGGCTTCAGCAAAGCGTTACATTTGTAAAAATGAAAGCAGCCATAATAAGGAAATTGCGGAAACAAGAGGCACCCCGTAAAAAAAGCTCTTACCTTATAAACCTGCGGGATTAACTCAAACATCTGAGCTTTGTCCAAATAATGAGCCGTCTTTTCCACTAGCTGCACCAGACCTCCGGCTGTGAAGTGTCTGCTTTCACAGATTCCCTCTTCATTTGGACTGCAAATGAAAGAATTATATTATGTACAAAATGGTTTTAGCAGTTAAATCCCATAATGCTCTACCTTATAACATCGTCCGAAACAGCACTTTCCTCAAGAATGTTATCACTGATATGAGCGAAAGCAACAGCGCCTTTTGGAAGATAAGAATCAAACTCTCGCATGGAAATATATTCTGCAGCGAGAGCTGCAGCATGAAGCATACACTCTCCAGCTTCAGCTGCGTTGTTTCTACCTGAGTGTTTGTTTGCCATATTGATTAACCACGTAAGCCTATAAATTGGAAAGAAATAAAAGCCAATAATATCAAAGGAAAACCCTGGCAGAAAAAAATAATTTGCGACCTTAGGTCAGGATTATTTTGATAGCCTTTCGCAACTCTGTACATTAAGTCCATCAACATTTCGAAGTCATTCGTGTACTCTTTCATTTTAACAGTATCAGAAAGAATCATATGTAGGTTAAACACCAGATCTTTCACCTGAAAACCCCCAAGAGTTAAAATGAAACCCTTTTATATGAAACAGACAACTGACTGACTAAAAACAATAGCTTCTAACAATTTATTACAGATGTTCTACCTGTTCGCTAAATGTCGTGGACCTTAGTTGTTGGTCAGTAAATGCGTCAATTTCCGAATAAGTTAGAACTGTTTTCAAACTCCGCCTTAAGCAATCTTCATTAATCCAATTCCCTTGACGAGTCCCCATTGAAACTAACGTGCTCAAAGACATAGTTATCTGCATCTTAACCTTGGAAAAATTTGGTCCCGATTCAAAGCTCTGCCTCATTAATAAGTATAATGACGCTGCTGCCTAAAACCACAAATAACTCCAGGCGAAATACTTTCGACAGACAACAGCGCACCACAAAGAACTGAAAAAAAAAAAAAAAGATATCTGTAACCTGAGAGCGAACAGAAGGAAGTCTTGAAGCGCAATGATGTAGTAAAAGTAAGCAAAGTTCTCCGCATTGCTCCGTCTCCTAAAAAAACAATAAAATAGAGCTCTTTCCCCTTAAAGAAAAAGTGAACATATCTTGTGTGATACCAAAAGAAATCCAACAAAGGGATTACAAACAATATAGCGGTTTGAGTAAACAGTGTTCTAAAAAACAGACCATTCGATGTAATGTATTGAATTTCTTCCAAACGATTTCTCATACTCTCTAAAGAGGTTTGTCCCACTTAATAAAGCAAGATTTTAGAAAAGCCAAATTTAAAAAAAAAAAGACATCGCTTAGGAACTGACATGTAACCGTACTATTGAGAAACAAGAAGCTTCTAACCATTAATGTCGAAAATGAGGAACCTCTGTTTGACTCCTTCAAGTTTTAACTTCTAAGCCGTTTCCCAAACTCCCTCTTCAGTACACAAAATTTCACTCAATTTTAAAGTAAGCCTATGCGAGCAGGTACTCACAACATCAAAAATAAAAACATCTCCAGAA